GCATGTGTAAGGCAAAGTAGCATGTGCATACTGTTGATGCCTTCAACCAAACATGAATATATACACATATAATATATATATATGTATATATATATATATATATGCAAAGAGGAGACACACCAGTTCAAGATTATCAAAATTTATCAATTTGAAGAAGACAATGATCTCAAGATTCCAACACAAAGAATCCCTAATCACATGAGCAAATGTATTAGCTAAACATTTTCTTAAAATAATTTAATTTTAAAGAAAGTTGAATAGCATTGCTTTGGACTTTAAATGTGGTGTAGCAGATGCTGTATTCCTATATATACTTTACTGATGCAATTTATAGGAGAAAAAACTCCCCACTCTTTACCATAAAAACAGTTGTTCTCGTTGGTTTGATTAGACATAAATTAATAGCGAAGAGTGAAAAAAAAAAAAAAAAAGTGAAGTGAAATAAAGGAACATTAAATTTCTAATTAGTATGAACTTTATTCAAGAAGTTGTGAAAACATATTATTTTGTTAATTTAGATAGCATGAGAGTGAAAAGAAAATTATTGTACTTACCAAACCTATCCTTATAATTTTATAGTAAAGACTTAAAATATAACGATACAACTTTCATGAGAAACAAAAAATTTCGTGTGCTTGATGGGAAAATGTTTGAGAAAAAATCAACCACATGCGGAATCGTATTTTCTTATAACTTTTCCTTTCATCCTATCCAGACTAATAAAATTTTTAAAAAGATCGATCTTATTTCTTTTCCTTTTCTGATATTTCTAGTTAACCAAACGCACCCTTAGGGAACACTATGAATAGTCTTGGCAAACAAATGGTAGAGAGGATATATCATAAAGGGGAATTACCAAAGGTAACTCGAGAAGTGTTAGAGGGGCTCTTCCTAAATTAGCTCTAGATGGGAAATGAATAAGCTCAAGTTTTTGAATCAGAAGACAAGAACCCTACTTGTTACAGTTGGTAACCGAGAAAGACTAAATCATTGATTCAGTGTCATGTCTAGCACCGACCCAAGAGATGTCAGGATCCCTGGATAGGTAGTGTGATCCGACCACAATAAGGGGCTGTAAGTTTGGATGGGTTATTCAGAAAAAACTGATATAGAGAGTGAGAAAGACTGTCAAGAGTGTATGTTTTGTGTAATATACATGTGATTCTCATTTTCTGTCAATTCTTAATTGTGTTTGTGTTTTGCTCTGAATTTATCGTGATTTAGAGGGAAGCCCTTGCCCTAGGGAGGACCAAAGGGGATCCTCAATACAAGGTAACATTTAACTATTTGTGAGTTTACCACATTTAAGTGATTTTAATTACTATGAAATAGTGTTGGGTTCAAACTTTATAATTTTCTGATGATAAACTAGAATGCAACTTGGTGGAGTGGACAAATTGAGACACCAACATGCAGCTTAATCTTATATATATATAATTCTCCCCTAAAGCCAGGATTCAACCGACATCAACCAACTCAAACTTATTTTTCTGAGTTTGGATTAAGTTTGTTTATTTTCAATAAATTAAGCTTGGATTGATAATAATAATAACAATATTAATCTGTCGGTTGCCCTAATTCTCCACCAAATCAAACTTAAATTTAGCTCACATTCAACATCTCAACCCTAACTCAAACGACAAAAGGAGTGACTCAACCCCATCCAAATATATTATACACCATGGTAGGACTCAAGGTCAGTTGTACCTTTAAATAAACCACACAATTCATAAAGAATCTGCAGAGCTCTCTTTTTGTCACCTTCATTGTTTTGCAACCTGCAACAAAATCGTATAAGTACTCTTTCATTGCATGCACAAGTTGGAAAACAAGAAGTCAAAAATCAGAACCATAGAAGTAACAATTTTCTTTGTCTTCAAGTGAGACACAAATAGATGCAAAATTAAGCACCAAATTTGGTATTTCACCAAAATGGTGGGCTAAGGAGTACTGGCATTGTTTAATTGTCTATGATAAGATGCACCTTAAGGACCCTACCATCAATTGGCATCACCCATGAACCTCTCACGCATGAAAATGATGATGTAACAGGTGTGGGACCCACTCTCATGACATTCTTGTGGTGGCAAATTTCTTTTTGTACAACAATATATTGGATTTTATAGGGCCATGCACATGACAATGTACAAATTCTTAATTAATGTCACATCCTTCTTAGCTAGCCTCCTTTTTTTTTTTTTTGCAACATGCCTAACCTAAAAGATGGTTATTTATTATTAAATTTTTTTAAGTCAACTTGATGGGTTCATTACAACCATTAGATTGCCTTAAAGTTGAAACAATGCCAGCAATGCATGCCTCGTAACTCTGACAAAAAGTAGAAAAACATCTTGAATTAAGTAAGAATGCTCATTCACTATTTGTTTTTGTTTTTGTTTTGTTTTTTTTAAATAATTTATGCTTGCACTGCTTCATAGCTCTAATTTTTAAAGGAGACTAAATATTCTTGTATGAATTGTAATACTATTATCTACTTCATAAGCAAATTAACTTGGATGGGTTGGTGTTATTTCTCATTTTTTTCAGGTGAATTTTGATACATTGTAATAATAAAAAGAAGGAAAAAAGTAATCATGAGGTGCAAATATTAGGTACCATGAATTCAAATAAAAGATGAAAGAAATATAGTTAATATTAAATATGGAGCACTTGTAGTGTTCTTGGGAGCACCGCAATTTGTTCTGTGGGTAAATACTCGCTCCGTTCTGTCCCGTTTATAACGGTTTCGGGGATCATTTAATTTAATTGGATAGAGATGATTTTTATTAGTAAAAACATGCGAGGGGAGGTCGCCTTACCGTTCCCCGTTTATATTTCTTATTTATTAATTTATCCTTATATATATATAAGTTTATTATATATATATATATATATATGTACATTTAAGTTAAAAGAACCCTAAATCCTAATCTCAAAAACCCTCAACCATAGTAATCTTAACAATCCTAAATCCTAATTTCACCATATTTTTCTTTATTGGTTTGGTTTTGTTAGATTTGACTACAGAAGTGAGGGAAACAAATGGTGCGAGTTTGGAAGTAAACGGGCTGGGTGGCTATTCTTGAACACACGTAATTATTTGGTATAATGGTAAAAGATTAAGATGTCTTCGTAAGTTTGAGTCTAATTATGATTATTTTGGACAAGTTTGAGAACATGAATTAGAATTTAATGATTATGTACGTTGGTGGTTCCTCTTGTCTGAGGAATGTCTAATATATAGGATCATGTTGAGAAATTAGGTTCATGTCAGCGTCTGAAAATTAAGTAGTGCCCATATTATGAGTAATTAGGAAGCTCAAAATTCTGCATGGAGTGAGAGATTTTGATGTCCAACCAAGTTTTGGATACTCAGAATAGCTCTCTTTAATGTATTGAGGGCATAAATAGGGAAAAAGGACAAGGGGGAGAGAAACAACAAGTACAACCACAGTGAATGGGATAGCAATCCTTTGAGGTCCCCAATCACACCTCTTAACTACAATGGCAAGGACAAGTGTGTGTCAACTGTTCCACCATTAATAACTCACATGATTTTTGCCTCTTTTATTTTTTATTTTATAAAAAAATCAATTTAATGTTTTGCCTTTTCCTACATAAATTTGTTGGAATATCAATATAATATATATATATATATTCAACTTGTAGAATAATCAAAGCATGATCATTGCTGTATCAAGTAGACTGAAGAGCCAACCTGAAGTTCCCATAATGGGAAATGACTGGTCTGTCTTTTGGTTCAATTACTTTTGGCATATTGTTTTTCATAATCAACTTTCATAATTTCTATTTAAACCCTGGTAAAAGAGTGTACTTCATTTAATTCTGCTTCTTTTTGAACTAAATACTATTAAGTTGATGATTTTGACACCCAAAAATTTTCTTCGGATCCCCTCAAAATATTTGTTTCATTGAAGAGAAGATCAATTTAATTTGATGGGTTTTCTCTATTTTGGAAGAATTTCTTGGAAGTCCAATATAATATTGTTGAACCAGTGTTGTACCATTCGAAATCCAACTATTTTCTATTTATTTTTAGTTATTTATTTATTTTTTTCTATGAATACAAATTTTAGTTTTAGTTCTTATGAACCCTTAAACGCTTATATATTGATTGATTAAGGGTTATATTCAATTGAACTAAGCCGAGCTACTCAAGTTAAATAAATTAAGCGTAACTAGTTTATTTCATTAATGATTTCAGGTGAGACTTTTCAGTCATGTTAGCTTTGATTCAACATTAAGCAACTAAATTCATCTTGATATTTAAGGGACCGCTTGATTTGTAACTCTGAAAATAATTTTAAAAAATTTAGAAAACAAAAAACAGTTTTCAGAGGACAATAAAAGAAAATTATTTATAAATAAGTCTTTTTATAACTGAGTTTTCAAAAAATTGAATCAAGCAAGAGTTTTTTGTACATTTATATTTGAAAAAAAAAAAAAAAAAAAAAAAAAAAAAAAAAAAAAAAAAAAAACTAAACTGTTGTTAGAGTTATAAATTGAGTAGCCATCTCAAAATTTTGTTGACCTGCAAATTAGGAATTAAGATATGACAATTTGTATCTCACAAATAATTGTAAGCCAAGTCTCCGATTGAAGCAACCCTAAGCAAAGCTGAAAAAACTAGGTTGGTATTATAATCATGAATAGTCACAACTTCCCAACCCTATTCATTAAACGAGGTAGGTTTCAAGATGGGATCGTGTGACTTATTTCATTAACAGAAGTTGGATAATCTAATTGTAGCTGTCTAAAAGTATTCTCTCTATGAAATACTACTAGAATTTTTTTTCGAAATTTACAAATTGCTCAGGAAAGGAAAAAAAATAAATTAAGGGTCTACAGTTAGCAGCAGATAATAAACATAAAAAAAGATATAGACTTCTGGTTACAAAAGTACTGTTATGTTCATTTGTTGTGGAAGGGCATTAAAGAAACAATAAATTCTTCAAACACACAATTAAATACACACATGATAGGTCCTACCAGCCCCATTTCCTTTCCACCTTCCTCTGTTTCCTCCCACCTCTCCTTTATATCACCTCTCATGCCATTCCATTCCCTCTATCATCCGTTGACACCGATCCATCTCAAAACAAACATTTAAACACTACTTCTAAGATCTAAGAATGGGTGTTAAAGCCCATATGGGCAAGAAAATGAAGCTCCCATTTCTCTCCAAGAACAAAGAAACAGGGCATCCTTGGCAATGGCACTCATGCAAGCACCCCAAGACCCTTTCTTTCCGAGCCGGCGACAACATGTTCAAGACCGTTAACTCCGTCTTCTTCGACCCGGAAATGCCGGAGTCGTCTTGGTTCACGAACTCATCAGAGTCTCCAAGCTTCTCAACCGAGTCAGAGGAGTCAGCAGGGGAGTCATTGGAGGTGATAATTCGCGGGGTGCAGTCAGACAGGCTGTTTTTCGAGCCCGGTGGCACGAGCTCGATCTTGGAGGAGGCTAAGGCTAGTGGGTTCCCGTTCAAAGAGAGTGTGGTAATGGCAATGGAGTCTGATGACCCTTATGTGGATTTCAGGAGGTCAATGGAGGAGATGGTGGAGAGTCATGGGTTGAAAGATTGGGAGTGTCTGGAAGAGTTGTTGGGGTGGTATTTGAGGGTGAATGGGAAGATGAATCATGGGTTTATTGTTGGTGCATTCATTGATTTGCTTGTTGGGTTGGATTCATCTCATTGTTCTGATTCCACTTCTTATTCCTCTGCTGCTGCTTCTTTTTCTTCTTCTCCTTCTCCTCCTCTGTCTCCCAATTTGGCACAAAAGGAGATTGAGGAAGAACACTAATGTCTTAGCTTTCAATGCCTTGTCTTTAGTTTATGTATATATGTTATTAGGATATTCAAAGAAAAAAAAAAGAGAATTAGAACTGAGAAATCAATGCCCACTTTACTATTTCTTTCTTCTATATCATCTGCTCTCGATGAATGTACATGTTTTTTATTTTTATTTATTTATTTATTTATTAAATAATGGTGGTGTCCTAATTGATGAATAAACCATAGAATACCTTTAAGAATTCCGGTATAAGAACTTTAGAGTACTTTACCCTTCTACGAGAGTTATCATATGATCGGCTGAATAGGGTTATGAACCCCTTTTATATAACAACAACTTGACGACTTTTCTACAAACAAGGCCTCTTAGAGGAGAAAAACTTTCTTGCAGTGCAATGGACATATCTAACTGTTTATTACCGCATATGTAATACACGAGCGGATATGCATGAATTGCCCGTATGCGCTCATTGCACGGTGAAACGGACATAAGGAAGTTTTTCTCCTCTTAGAGAACCCGTTCCTCTGTTCCATGTGCACCAGTCGTTTCTCTTAAAGGGATTCGAATTTCGGAGGTCATGTGAGGTGAGTCTTTTGCCGTGTTTGTTTAGAAAGACACGTGTAGTTCTGTACACAGACACATGCAAAATGAAACATTGACCATGAGTCTTGTTGGATGGTGAATTTCAAAGATTAAGAAATTTTGGAGGTGTGAGAGAACAGAGTCCCTTTTGGGGCATGTATTACTGAGGATTCAGAGCAATTCATGATCTACTGACCACAGTATTGTGCCACATAATTGCTACTCTAGCATTGGACATGATTCACAATAGGGTATTATGGAAGGAGAGAGAGAGGAATAGACAGGCTGGAGTGATAATAGGTTCATCTTCCCACCTCATTCATGGCACAGCTGCAGTTATAATAGGACCATCTTCTTCTCCAATGGGCTATGAATGCCAATCACAAGTCTTATCATCCAAATCCAAAATTATTGGAATGCAACATTATTGGAGTCCGTAAAAAATTGTGAAATGTGATTACATTTTAATGACTAGGTGAAATTTAACCTTCAAAGGACATACTGAAAAGTAATTCCTAGTTCAAGTCATTCATGAATATTGTCAAGTTGTATTCACATTGCTTTGTAATTTTTATTTTTTTTTACTTTGCATGCATATATCAGGGTGGAACCTCCCAAAGGTAAAATAATTAATTTCCATGCATGTGAAAGTGATGAGTGAATGCTAGTTTCTGCTGTTCATCAAGAAAACACAACAATCCTACATTATTGTTTTTTGTTGGACTCGAACTCTCAACCTCTCTTTTGGAGAGGAGAAATTATACCATCTGTAAATGCTTCATCTCGGCCTAAGTGAGAAATGCTTACGATGCCTATTGGTTTTTTTGGCGACTTCAATAAATAGCGTCTAACATGATTCTTTACACACGGTAATGAATAATATATTCTCTCACTACTCTAATTATGTTTTAATTAATGTTTGTCACTTCGATCAATTTTAAAAACCGATCTATATTTTGATGAAAAAGGATAATTTTGACGACACTCGACAACCGACAGTGAATGGGAGTTGAGATGTCGGCAAGCGTAAATTGCTCTATTTTTTTTTATTTTTCCATTCAAATAAGCACATTTCCTCTCTCCCCCCACATCCACATCCCACCCCTAATTAAATTGCACCATGCAATGTTGACAATCACATCGGGACTAGTTTGCGTCCAACAAATTTACGGAGTCATTACGTGATACAACGGTAAAAACCTAACATACTGGCACAAGGTAGTAAGTCAAATTCAGAAGTAGAACCCTACACTGGTACCATTGCACATGACCCCGCCTACAAATGCTTGGTACCATTAACCGACACCAACTTTTATTCAAATTTTCTCTTACATCAATTATCCTTACAAAACATTTTTAAAAAATAAAATAAAATTGTATGGACAATCTCCAACAAGTGAATCTGGAGTTTGGACCACCTGTTAGCCACTGACAGCAACCTGTATACATGTTACTAAATAAATTAATAAGGATAAGGTCACTATAAAATTAGAAATTAATAAGAGTAGAACCACACCTTGGTAGTCCAATCTTTGGAGACTCCCATACAAGTTTTCACCTTTTTTTTTTTTTTTTTTTAGGAGCACTTTAACAATTATATATATATGATAAAGTTACTGCATGTATTATTAGTCTTAAACTGATGCAATAAACCAAAGGACACTTACTCAAAATATACATACATACATACATACATACATACATACATATATATATATATATATATATATATATATATATATATATAAAAATCTGAGAGATAAGGGTTGTAGTTCAGTGATACTTTTTTTTTGTGAGGGTCCAATTTTTTATAGGGGTATGGGAGTTTCTTGCCACAAAAAAAAGAAAAACAATGAGATTGGTTTTGCAGTTGTTTTATTTACCCATCAATGCTGGTGTTTAATGGGATTGGGCCATACCTATTTTGTGGTAAGCGAGTTTTTATATCTGGCCCATTGCCCACTCCATCGTAGGCTCAGGTCAACTTTTATTTTGAACAACAATATATTGTGGGGGTATTAATAGGCATGGCCCAGAATCAGCCCAAACTCCAACTCTTATAAATAGAGAATTTGGAACTTCATGAAGTGGGCCTATATCATTGGGTTATGGACTTCTAGCCTTTTGGGGAATGGAACCTTGGCCCAAACCAAAACTCTTATAAAATGGCCCCTTAATTTTCAAAAATAGCAATCTCTCTTTCTACTTATATATATATGTACAGTACACATTCATAAACACTGATTTAAATACATACATATCATTTCTGTAGATATTTATACATCTCTTCATTCAATATACACGTACCCATATCGAGCAATTAATACCCTCTCTTCCTTCAATATACAGTCTCGGAAATGAAATGAAATTCACTCCGTCCCTTGTCCCATATGTTTTGGAGGATGATTTCAAGGAGATTGGAACTCCCAATCTTCAAAACATAGAGTGATATTTTTCATTGGAGTTAGCTCATTAAGGTAATGTTTAATAACTCAATTTAGTGGTAAGTTAAATATTTATTCAATAAAATGTATTTGATAACCAATTATGTTATATAATTTAAAAGAATGAGTGTCACTTAATAGCATTCGGAATGGAAAGCCATTTTGGATCTCCAATTGTGAGTTGTCGTGACTCTCTACTTAAAGTGGTCAGCCTAATTAGTCGATGTGATGTTGATTCAACTAATTACTCTTATTATTAATTTTTAAGCAATTCTCACTCTATATACCATCTCACTATATATATATTTAAACAATCCGCTTGCTACAAGGCTTGCTGTTTGTAGCGAGCATGTCAATTTTATTTTAATTTTTATTTATTTATTATTGGTTTTGCAGTTGTTGTTTTATTTACCCATGAATGTTGGTGTTTAATGGGATTGGGCCAAACCTATATTGTGGTAGGCGGGTTTTAATATCTGGCCCATAGCCATCCAATCTTAGGCTCAGGTCAACTTTTATTTTGAACAACAATATATTGTGGGGGTATAAATAGGCATGGCCCAGATTCAGCCCAAACTCTTATAAATAAAGAATTTGGAACTTCATGAAGTGAGCCTATATGATGGGTTATGGACTTCTAGCCTAGAATATTCTATTGGGGAATGGAACCTTGACCCAAACCAAAACTCTTATAAAATGCCCCCCCTAATTTTTCAAAAATATAATTGCCACCCACCTTTTTACTTTGTCTAATCCCAAAAATAGCAATATTTCTTTCTACTTAGTACTTCTATATGTACAGTACACACTCATCAACACTGATTTAAATACGTACATATCATTTCTATAGATAATTATACATCTCTTCCTTTAATATACACATACCCATATCAAGCAATTAATCTCTTCCTTCAATATATAATCTCGGAAATGAAATCTTGACTCTATTTCTTGTCCTATATGTTTTGGAGAGGAGAATTATTTCAAGGAGATTGGAACTCTCAATCTTCAAAACGTAAAGTGACATTTCTCATTGGAGTTAGCTCATTAAGATAATGTTTAATAACTCAATTTAGTAGTAAGTTAAATATTTATTCAATACAATGTATTTGATAAGGAATTATATATACAACTTGAAAGAATGAGGGTCACTTAATAGCATTTGGAATAAAAGCCATTTTGGCTTTCCAATTGTGGGCTGACGTGACTCTCCACTTAAAGTGACCAGCTTAATCGGTCGGTGTGGTGTTGGTTGGGCTGACTATTTTTATTATTAATTTTTAGGACAATACTTGCCTACTCACCGGTGAGTAAAAATTTCATACTTACCACCCACGTAGCATGACAATAAAGTGACAAGTGTTCTTCCAATATAAAATAAAAAATAAAAAATTTGAAAAGTTATTTGGGTTAAACTCAATAAAATCTTAATCAAATCCTAATTTTATTATTTCTTTTTCTCATAAAATCGGAATCAAACCCAGGCCATAAAAAAAAATAAAAAATAAAAAAAAAATTATGTTGAAGGAATTGGATTAAACTTTTTTATGAGGGTGAGACTTAAAGTTCAATTGTAAATCTAACCATTCCCTGCTAGAGTATTTGCGTTAAAATAGGCTTATTAACATTAGTCAAATAAATAAAAGAAAGTATTTTGTCATGATTTGGTAAAAAAATAAAATTTGTTTTCTTAACAATTCTTTTTAGTTGATTAATTATAAGACAATCATAGATTCATATTTATTTTCACATGTGGGACAAGACACAAGTAACAAATGCAAACATCTACCTTTACACGAACAATTTGGTTTTTTTTTTTCCCCTTACCAACAAGAATGCAACAGAGGGCTAAACAACACAAACCACGCTTCAAAAGAACAAAATCAATATATATTAGTTCAGACATGAAATCTTATCACCCACAATAAAAAATTCTAATCCAATTCCTTTCATGGATTTGATTTGAATAAGATACTTGTAGTTGTGATTCCTTAAAGTTTTAGAATTAGGGTAACAGAGTAGCATGAAAAAGAGATAATTAGATATGAGGTTTGATTTGGATTCTATTGGATTTAACCCAAATAATTTCTTAAATCTTTGATTATTATTATTATTATTATTTTACATTGTAGAGACACTTGTCATTTTGTTGTTGCGTCATATCGATGGTAAGTATGAACTTTTTACTTACCGGTGAGTAGGCAAATATTATCTTAATTTTTAAGCAATTCTCTCTCTCTCTCTCTCTCTATATATATATATATATAAAAGCAATCCGCTTGCTACAAGGCTTGCTGTAGCGCGCATGTTAAATATATATATTTTTGTGTTGTTTCCACAATGTGGCGAGTCCCAGACCGTGTTACTCCACTCACCAAATGGGCCTTTGGCTTGCTAAAATAGAGCACAAATTTAAGTGAGAGGCAAAAAACCACAAGGGAGAAGGAGAGTTGTTAATAAGTGAAAACTTGATTGACCTTGAGAAACATTTTCATATAATTTCTGACAGTGATTAGTTTACCAAGTTGATATTAAATTGAATACAATAAATTAATTAGTATCAAACCTTAGGAAGCGCGGATGTAAACATAGAACACAATTACGATACGATGTGAATACAACAAAATTGATATTTTTCAATTTATCAATAATAACATACACATTCTTGTTGATTTGGCTTATATTTTGATGTGAGAAATGCGAACAAAAGTTTAGGCAAAAGAACAAACGAAGATGTAAACACACATATATATATTTTTTGGGTAAATAAATATGCTTGTTCGTTTTGTTAGGCATTTAAGTCTAATTTTTTTAATTATATTTTTAGCCCAATAGATTTTAGAATTCGAGCTAAGTCCCATGTCCTATTTAAAAAAAAAAAAAAAATTCACATATTGACTCACCATGTTGTGAGATTTCTCTTGACTATGTCCTTACATATCATTCGTGTTCGTTTAAAAAAATAATTATTTAAATTTAAAGATCAGTAATCTTTATTTATATTCAATGTGTGTCCAACACTACAATAATACATACGAAGAAATATATGTGCTTCATAGATCAAACTATATAAATTTCGCAAACAATTTTTGTATCGGTCGAATTAGTTTAATTTTAAAAAAATAATTTGGTGGGACAATTCACATGTGAACTTCACCATTGTGGGCTGTTGGACTCCATGGGACTTACGACTCCATGTGAAAGTAGTCGGAGTGTCAATAGTGTATAGTACGACACATTAATTAATCTTACTTTGGAGTGACGTATATGTGATATATAATTATGTGTGATATATATATATTCTCAATGTTGAGAGAAAGTGAAAAGAATAATTTTCATTGGGCCCGGCACAACAGTACAATTCCCATAGAGAGAATGTTTTCTCATAGATTTCATGCAATCACAACGCAGATCATAGCACACACCTCTTTATTCATTCATTCATCAATCAAAACACCCTTTATTCTTTGGTCTTTAAGAAGAAAAAGATAGTACACAGTTCCCGATACCTTCAAACAGACAGCCAGTCTGCTCTCTCTCTCTTTTCAGGCCCCTTTGCAATGAGTGGATTTCTCTTCCTCTCTCTCTTTTCCTACCTTTTTTTTTCTTTTTTTCTTTTTTCTTTTCCTCTTTTTTTTTTTTTTTTTTTCTCTTTTTTACCACAGCTTTTGATTGTGTAGTACTACTACTATACATAAAACAACACACCAGTATTATATAAGTAAACTAAAGTTATATTCTTCCACTCATAGTTATTGAATAGATTTACGCAAAGAAGACCACATGTATCTAGTTTGGTGCCTACAAACCATATATAGTATAGGTACTTAGTCATATACATGTCATACTTTTTGTTAAAGATATAGTCCAACTTCCCAATATACTTGAAACTTTATTTCATTCCTACAGCTATATGTGTGTGTGTGTGTGTGTGTGAGAGAGAGAGAGAGAGAATTTAGCTTCGTCTTTGCTTCACATGCATTCCACTTTCACAAAACAAAATTTTTTCCTCACCCAACAAGAAAAGCATAAATCTACTTCACATATTATTGCATACATCCTTTTTAAGCCTCCTCATCACAGCAACCAAATTATAAACATATGCAATACTCTCTTTCCTAGCCAAATGAAAGCCATGAAACCAAACCCTATACTTGTAGTCCTTCATTGATTTCTTCTACAACTACTACTAATACTAGTTAAGAGTGTATAACAAAAAAACATCAAAACAAAGAGAAGATGAGGACAGGAGGTTACACTACTCATCACTCTCTAACTAGTGAGGCTGCAAGCATAGTAACACAAGCCATTAGCCTTGCTAAAAGGCAAGGCCATGCCCAAGTCACTCCTCTTCATGTGGCCAGAGCCATGCTTGCTTCCTCCACCGGCCTTCTCCGAAAAGCTTGCCTTCAATCACATTCTCATCCCCTACAATGCAAAGCCCTAGAGCTCTGCTTTAACGTGGCGCTCAACCGTCTCCCTACCTCTGCATCGAGCAATATTCTAGGGCACCACTCCCACCACCCTCCTCTCTCCAATGCCCTAGTTGCAGCCTTCAAGCGTGCGCAGGCACACCAGCGGCGTGGCTCCATTGAAAACCAGCAGCAGCCCATTCTGGCTTTGAAAGTAGAGATAGAGCAGCTCATAATCTCTATCCTAGATGACCCAAGTGTTAGTAGAGTCATGAGAGAAGCTGGTTTCTCTAGTCCTCAAGTGAAAACCAATGTAGAACAAGCTGTCTCTTTGGAGATCTGTTCTCAGAGTCCTGTGAATAGCCAGTCCAATGATATTAGCACCAAATCACCAAGTTTCGGCACCAATTTCTCTCAATTCCCACCAATGACTCAGTTTAGACCATCACTAAGCAAACCAACTGATCATCAAGTTTCGAGTGATGATGTGAAGAGTGTTCTAAACACATTCATGAGCACTAAAAGGAAAAACACTGTCATTGTAGGAGAGTGTCTAGCTAGTGTTGAGGGTGTAGTTAGAGGAGTGATGGATAAGTTCAAGAAAGGAGATGTTCCTGGAGATTTGAGGTATGTGCAGGTCATAACCCTTCCTGTCTTCTCCTTCAAAAATCTGTCCAAGGAAGTGGTTGAACAGAAGCTTGGGGAGCTTTGGTCCTCAGTGAAAAGCTATGGGAGTAGAGGGGTGGTTTTGTATGTGGGTGATCTCAAATGGGTGTCTGAGTTTAGGTCAAATTTTGGTGAGCAAAGGAAAAACTACTATTGTCCTGTGGAGCTCATGATCATGGAGCTTAGTAGAATGTTGAGTGCTATTGGAGATAGTGGAAGGTTGTGGATATTGGGGATTGCAACTTTTCAGACTTACATGAAGTGTAAAACAGGCCATTCTTCTCTAGAGTCTCTTTGGCAACTTCATCCTCTCACAGTTCCTGTGGGCACCTTGGGACTAAGTCTCAACCTTGAAAGGTATTTTCATGAACTCATCTTCCATTTTCTTTTTGAATGTTTGTCTCTAAATTTATTAATTCATTGATAAGTACTAAAAGTAGATAGTTACGTTAAGTAAATTTTTTTCTTAAATTTTAAATTATTAATCTTTTTTTTTTACTCTTTCCAGTGATGGATCTTGTTGGTCACTTCTTAAAAATGAAGTTGAGCAGCAGATGACTTGCTGTACCGATTGCTCGGCTAACTTCAGGAGAGAAGCTCAAAGCATAGCAACCACCACTCATAACCATGAGTCCACCACCACTTCCACCAGCTCAAGCTTGCCTTCATGGCTTCAACAGTACAAGGAAGAGAAAAGAAGGGAAAATATCAATGATCAGGTTTTCATTTTGACCCAAGCCTAGTTATATATTTTCTCATTTATTGACACAAGGTGGAACAAGGAAAGTCTAACATTGTATTCCTTGTATGATCTGTAACAGGAATCCAACAAAATTAGAGATCTCTCCAAGAAGTGGAATTCAATTTGCAGTTCATTCCACAAAAATCCCCATTTCCTTGAGAAAGACTTTAATTTTCCTTCATCTATTCCTTGTCTCTCTAATTCAATCTCTTCAGCTGACCAGTGTAAACCTAATTTGCACCACACACTACTAAGCTGGCCAGCGATTTTTGAACCCAACCGGTCGCCTAAAGAACACCAATTTTTAGCATCTAATGAAAAAGGCGACGAAGGCTTTGAGCCCAATTTGAAAATGTACATGCCATTTACAAATGAGCCAAAACCAGACCTTTTATCCAATCCTAACTCTAGTCCTAATTCGGCTTCTTCTAGCGAAGCAATGGAGGATATGGAGTGCTTGCATCAGTTCAAGGAGCTGAATTATGAGAACCTGAAGATTCTATGCAATGCATTAGAAGAAAAAGTGCCATGGCAAGTGAACATTATTCCTGAAATTGCAAGCACAGTCCTTGAATGCAGGTCTGGGAAAAAAAGCCGAAAAGGCAAGTTGAAACAAACAGAGGACAAAGAGGAAACTTGGTTGTTCTTCTCAGGTGTTGATTCTGAAGGCAAAGACAAGATTGCAAGAGAGTTAGCTAAACTTGTTTTTGGCTCTCACACTAACTTTGTCACAGTTGGTCTCAGTTGCTTCTCAATGACAAGAGCTGATTCAACTGAAGAGTGTGTGAGTAACAAAAGAGCAAGAGAAGAGTTGGGTTCAAGTTATCTCGAGAGATTTGCTGAAGCTGTGCAAGAGAATCCGAGCCGCGTGTTCTTCATGGAAGATTTGGAGCAAGTTGATTACTTTTCTCAAATGGGAGTTAAGAAAGCAATTGAAAGTGGGAGAATTACACTTCCTGGTGGTGAGTTAGTCCTTCTTAAGGATGCCATTGTTATTTTCAGCTGTGAAAGCTTCAGCTCCATGTCAAGAGCTTGTTCACCTCCCACTAGGCGAAAAACCGGTGACAATGAAGTGAAAGAGGTTGATGATCAAGGGATGGAGAGAAGAGAGTGTGTCTCACTGGATTTGAATACTGCCACTGAAGAAGATGACAATGGAGATGAGCATTCAGTTGGTGAAATTGGCATTTTGGAATTGGTGGATAAGCAAATTATTTTCAAAATTCTGGTGTTGTGAAATGAGGCGATCAGTTAAGGGATATGTCATGGGAGGGGTATATTTCTTTTTTTTCTTTTTCTTTTTCTTTTTTTTTTTTTTTTCAAAATTTGGGAAAAGGGAAGGAAGAAGGTTTGTTAGATCCACACTAGAGCACTATGGATGCCATGTACGAAATGTACAATAGTACATATTTAATCTAGTTACTTGACAGCTTACGAGACCTACATTTGTTTCTTCTTTAGGATGTCTGATTTCCTGTTTAACAACAATTTATTGGGAATTGGTTGGTTTTGTAGTTACTGAATGTTGACTCAAGGCACTGTGAAAATTTTCTTTCTCCATTTTTTCCCGCTAATTGGCACTGTGCAATTTTATCTTATATAATATTTCCTCTATTTCAAAAAAACAAAACATGGCATACTTTTCTTTTCAGTTTGTTTTAAAATAATTGTCACTTTTCTTTTTCAAACAATATGTTTTACATTTTTCTATGTATGTTTTAGGAATTTAAAATTTCAAACTTAGGATATTCAAAATTTAGAAGGACAAATTAATAACTTTTAAGGAAACAAGGCATGTCCCCTTAAAATTTTCTACTCTCCAAAAACGACATCTAAATTGGAACAGAAGGAGTACATCTTTCAGTCTTGTTGATCTTGAAAATTATTTTAATACAATATACCAACTACTTAAATGTTCATGTGGTGATAAAATTAATCTGCTCAAAATGTATTTATTCTTATAAAACAACATAATATTACATGCATCATTCAAGTTTAAGGAAAAAGAAAAAGAAAAATGCCACGCTACATGGTGTCACTGTTACACTAAAGACTTTCTCTTTAGCTCAGACCTTTAAGGGTTTCGGTTAATGAGCACCCATTTTTTTTAAAATGTCATATAATCACATTTTCACTTAGTGTATCCATCTCTTTTAGGAACCTGAGATTCAGCGTCCATCCAATGCATCATAGTGATGCGCCAGATGGGGCACATGCATAACGCGATATGACAAAACTGTGCATCATAACTTGGTGCACATTATTGGAGGGGATCCACACTTTGTTTTTAGATTTCATGGATCACATTTTCTTTGTCTGTAAATTAAGTGCATCATTAATGAAGAATCAATTCACCCGCTAGTCATTTTACACTCACATTATTTGTAAACTCCGAATGCATATAGTAATCTGCATCATTAAGGATCACGTCTTACCTTTGGTAAATATCAAATTGGAGACCTAAAGGGAATACCCCAAAAATCATATCAGTTGAACTAGCGCGAATTTAATTTTTGTACCTTGTTTCTTTCTTTCGGTTTTATTAAATTTTTCACAATATATATTTACCCAAAACAACGAGAGGATAAAATATTGTGTCGCAGCAGCTGGTATCATACATGGAAACAACTTTAGCAATAGAATAAGATCTAAAAATTTGTAGTAGACTAGTAGGTTTTTTTTTTTCCTGAATTAGACTAGTGGGTCTTAAGTTTGATAAAAGATACGATTCGTAACTTCAGGATTGTGCAAGATTAAAGCTACTTTAGAAGAGAATAGAAAATTCCTTCAGAATATGAAAGAAAAAAAAAAAAAAAGAAAAAAAGAAAAGAAAAAAGAAGATATTGCTTTTCATAAATCGAGATGTGATTTTCACTCTTTTTTTTTTTTTTTTTTTTTTTTCTTACTTTAAATGTGCATTCTGAATTATAACATTTCATTCTCAATTTGAAAGGCATCGGAGGGAGTATTGAAATCTTGAAATGAAAAATGACATAAAAAGCAAGGAGATGAATCAAAACTTTCATAAAGATATTCTTGTTTTGGTATAACACCAAAAAAGAAGATTAATTAATTAGCTTCAAAACTTTGAGACCAAAGTTTAGGTCCATTAGTCTAATTAGGAGTGGAATATGTGATTAAGGAAGAACATGCATCAATCTTTTGAGAATAATCTTTCTTCAATTACAAAATTTGGGACCTGTGTATAAATTATTAAGCATTCCAATAATGATAATATCCTCATGACTGCAATTCACACCAACCTAAAATGTACTTCTAAGCATTTTTATTTATTATTATTATTTTTGTAATTTATAATCTGTAATTTATAATCATGACTTTAGTAATTTTCAATTTCTATCTTTAATAGTTAGTGGACCTTTGAGACTATGGTAATGGTGGTCTTTGTCACAAGAAGACACAACCTCGAGCATTGTTCCCATTAGGAATGAATGATAAAACTAGGTTCCACAAAAGTGATAGTGGTGAATTATGATGATAAGAACTTCCATTTGCAAGGCATGCTCTTTAGCCGACTAGCTCAATTTCTTTTCATTTTCATTTTTCAACTCTCTTGTCAATCTTTGGACACAGACTTGAACACTTGCATAATTATGTTCACATTGTAACGATGAGTATAAAAATCAGAAAATTGTGAAAGGAGTACTCAGGATTGCCATTTTTCATCTTTAATAATTCTTTCGATCGAAAAGATGAGAACCGGATTTTGTCGCATATTATATTTTTAGGCCTGATGACAAACGTCCGGTCCAACTTGTTACAAGTGGTATCAAAACCAACCTAGTTGTTATTATACAAATCATCATTTTTCTACTTTCAATTTTCTTAAGTGCTAATTTGAACAGTTACAACAATACATTTCATTTTTTTTCTGCCAATCTCCAATATTCCCAAGTTTAAGAAAATTATAAAAATTATATTCTAAAATTACCTTTTTTTTAAAAAAAAATCAATTTTTATAAGTTTTTCAAAAACTCAATTACTAAATGAATTTTTGAACCATGGTCTAGATTTTTTTATTCTTATAGAAAAAAACAAAAAACTATATATTCTCATAAAATTTACCACTTCAAAACTTTACCTAGGAAATTAGCTGGGAGGTAATTGGATAGTTCAAATCCGAGGCCATCAACTCAACAAAAGTGATAGCGGTGAATTATGATGATAATAACTTCCATTTTCAAGGCATGCTCTTTAGACCACAAGCTCAATTTCTTTTCATTTTCATTTTTCAACTCTCTTGTCAATCCTTGGACAAAGACTTGAATACTAGCATAATTATGTTAACGTTATAACAATGAGTATAAAAGTTAGAAAATTGTGAAAGAGGGTACTTAGGATTGCCATTTTCATCTCTAATAATTCTTTCCACGAGAAAGATGAGAATTATACACAGGTAATTGTAAAAGGAGTATTGTCTTACATTGAACTACCCCCATAAGAACAGGTAGATGGCACTATTCCACTTAGCTTATTCTTTTAGATATGATGGCAAGCGTTCAACTTGTAATAAGTGGTATTAGAATCAACCTAGTTGTTATTATATAAACCAGCCTTTCTCTACTTTCAATTTTCTTAAGTGCTAATTTGAACAGTGTTACAACAATACATTTCATTTTTCCCTGTCAATCTCCAATATTCCCAAATTTAAGAAAATTATAAAAATTGTATTCTAAAATTACCTTTTTAAAAAAAAAAATTCAATTTTTACTAAGTTTTTCAAAAACTCAATTTCTAAATGAAATTTTGAACCATGGTCTAGATTTTTTTATTCTTAGAGAAAAAACAAAAAACTAAATATTCTCATAAAATTGACTACTTCAAAAATTTACCTAGGAAATTAGCTGGGAGGTAATTATAAAGTTCAAATTAAGGTGCACTAGATATTGCGAAATTAAATAGAAAAATAAGAAAGAAATCAAACACACACACACACAAACACACAAGAATACACATATTTTACTTGGTTCACTCATAATCAGGGCTACACACAAGGGTTGCAAGGATTTTCACTATGATGATAAAAAAATGGCAGCGGATAAAAAGAATTCAGAATGAATAAATACTCTTGCACTCCGACAGCATAATAATTGTGGAAATTACCTAAACACTCTCCAAAAAATGTACTTGGGAAATTAGCTGGGAGGTAATTATAGAGTTCAAATCTGAGATGCACTAGATGTTGTGAAATTAAACAGAAAACACAAGAAAGAGATCAAACACACATACACACTCTACACACACATTTTACTTAATTTACCCAAAATCAGGGTTACGTCCAAGGATTGTAAGGATTTTCACTATGATGAAAAAAATGGAAGCGAATACATAGAGTTGAGAATGAATAAATAGCCTCGCAATAGGGTAACATAACAAGTGTGGAAATTATCAAAATACTCTCCAAAAAGTTTACCTAGGAAATTAGCTAGGAGGTAATTATAGAGTTCAAATATGAGGTGCACTAGATGTTGCGAAATTAAACAGAAAACATAAGAAATAGATCAAACACACACACACAAGAATACATAGATTTTACTTGGTTTACCAAAAATCAGGATTACGTCTAAGGGTTAGGGATTTTCACTATGATGATAAAAAATAGCAACGGATATAGAGAGTTCAGAATGAATAAATACTCTCGCACTAGGGCAATATAACAAGTGTGAAAATTATCAAAATACTTTACAAAAAATTTACCTAGGAAATTAGCTAGGAGGTAATTATAGAGTTCAAATCTGAGGTGCACTAGATGTTGTGAAATTAAATAGAAAACACAAGAAAGAGATCAAACACACACACACACACACACACATACATACACACACACACACAAACACAATAACACACAGATTTTACTTGGTTCACCAAAAATCATGGCTACGTCGAAGGGTTGTAGGAATTTTCATTATGATGATAAAAAACAGCAGCGAATATAGAGAGTTTAGAATGATTAAATTCCCTCGCACTAAAGCAACATAACAAGTTGGATCCGCGAAGTTGGGGCTTGGTGTATAGTATCTATCAAGCTCTACACTACCCATCAATCTCCTACTTGGAGACTGATAAAGATCAAACTGTCAACTCCCACATGCCTTCATACATAGCAAAACACTATAACATCTCATTCTTCTGTCATCAAACTTAAACACCAACTGAAGCTAAACAAAGCTTTAGTTTTTCAATTGTTACTGCCTTGGGTAACATGTCTGCTAGATTTTTACTCCCATGGATCTTCACAAGTAATAAAACTCTATCCTCCAAAAGTGAGTGCATGAAATGGTACCTCAAGTGTATATGCTTTATTCTGGAATGGAATGCCAGATTCTTAAAAAGATAAATAGCATTTTGACTATCACTGTACAAAATACTATTCTCTTGCTTTTTACCCAATTCTTCCAAAAATCCCTACTACCAAATTATCTCCTTGCTAGCGTCTGTAATTGCAACATATTCAGTTTTTGTGGTCGAGAGAGCCATAATCTTCTACAACTGAGAGACCCAACTTACTACTGTACCACCCAAAGTATACACATACCCCGTTGTACTCT